CCAGAAAACCTAGTATGTTTACTGCAACAGCATTTCTCTGTATAGGGAGGACTGAAAGACCTAGCAAAGGCAGCAACAGAACAACAGGAGAAAAACCCTATCCACCAGTCAAGTTTATCAGTCACCATCAAGTCTAATAAGCCTGGGAGTGGTCACCAAAACAGACCCCTCAACCAGTTCTCAAATGACAGCAGGCTGGATGAGAGGAACTTCATTAATTATCAGAAAAGAATGTGAAAAGTATATGTATGTACTCCATCTGCATGTTGCCCAGAAAGAGCTCCCATACCTGAGCAATCAAGGTCAGGCAGGTCTTCAACAAATGTGAAGATCAGAAACACTTGCAACCCTAGGTACTATTGTAGGAGATACCTTGTACATCTGAAGGTTTAGGCACTACCTGCAAGTTCCAGTCACCCTATCAGGGACCACATGTAGCTACCAGAAATATACCACAAATATACTCTGATCTCAGAGTCTGAAGTTCTACCATGTAACTGCAGGGGGCAGGGTATAACTCTCCCCCCCAAGTCTGTACTTGCTGAAACATTTTAATGTAGTTCACTAATTTCATTCAGGAGATATTTACTGAGTACCTGCATTGTGTGGCTGGCTTTATTCAAGGCTCTCGGAATACAGCAGTGAATAAAACAATGTTCCTGCTATCATGCAGCACATTCTTGTGAAACTGAGAAACAAATAAGCAAATATAGGGTAAGCAGTGGGAAGTACTATGAAAAAAGTAGAGTAAAGGGGCTAGAGAGTAACAGAGTAAGGGAGAGTGTTGTTATTTTATATAAATGGATGATGAATGGCAAAGTGCCATTTGATCAGGAGTGAGAGCAAAGCAGAGAGGGTCTTACAGTGAGTTTCTTGGGCAGGTAACTGGAGCACAGCAAGTCCCTTCTCTCTTAGAAAGATTTGCCAGCTATACAGTGTGAAGAAAGAACAGGCTCTTCCAGCTTAGTTGGGTGAGAGAAGAGGCCTTGGAGAGTTTATGTAGCTTACACGCCTTCCCTGCAGTTTCTGGAGAGTTTCCATCACAGATGAGAATTTTATGTTGAATTTTAAGTTGACCACAAATATTTAACTTCCCTGAACCACAAATGCAGTATCTTCTCTGTGGTTTAGTTGGCACTGAGTACATATTTATGAATCTCTATATGTCTGCCTGTTATTTAAATTTCTTACAGAAGTGCCAAGGTCTTTAGTTGTGACTTAGCCCTCCCACTCCATATTAGTGGGTCTGAATCCTAATCAAGCTTAATTCTTGGAAAAAGGATATATCTTTGTAATCGAAGGTTTAGGGTCTTCCTAGTCAAATTTCCTAGAACCATTTTCCTCTTCAAAAAATTATCACTGGAGGGGCCTCCCCGGTGGCGCAGCGGTTGAGCGCTGGGTTGCGAAGCTGCCCGTGGCCTCTGTGGCGCCGGTTCAATCCCCAGCTGCTCCCCGGTCACCGGAGGAGGGTCCCACATGGCGCGCAGACCTCTCCTGCCGCGCGCTGCTCCCCTCAGCAGTGTACTTTGGTCCTTCTGCCTGCTCTGCTCCCCACTCTGGCTCTGGTGAATTCTCTCACCCTCCCGTGCTTCTGACTGTACCCAGTGCTTGTATAAATAAATAAATAAATCTTTAAAAAAAAAAAAAATTATCACTGGAGGGGCTGTACAAAATCCTTTTTTTTAAAAAAAGGATTAATTTATTTATGCAGACAAGAGCTGGGGTACAGGCCAGAGATACAGGGGGTGAGAGGATTCACCAGAGACAGAATGGGGAACAGAACAGGCAGATACACTGAAGTACACTGCTGAGGGGAGCAGCGGGTGAGTCAGGAGACGTCTGCCTCGCCAGCCAGCTCCCTGGCTGGCCGGGTATTGAACTCATGCTGCAGGGGCTGTGGACTGCCCCATAGTGTGGTGCTTAACCCCTTGCGCCACCAGGGAGGCCCTGTACCAAATTCTTATATTTGAATTACTATTTAAGAATTTTGCAGTTGCTTTGTTTTTTTTTCCCCCATTAGAAATTAAGAATAAATTTCAAATGGATATAAGACCTGCAACAATAAAAATAAATAGAAGAAAAGAGCAGTAATATGCTCCAAGATATCATTGATAAAGATGTTTTTAGACTTGACACCTATGGCAAGGGAAATACAAGCAAAAATAAACAATTGGGATTACCTCAAATTAAAAGTTTTTACACAGGGAAATATAAGTAGAGTAAAAAGACAACCTACCAAAAGGGAGAAAGTATTTACATATTACATAACTGATAAGGGATAATATCCAAGATATACAGAACATACATACATACATATATATGACTTATACAATTCAATAAAAAATACAATTAATAAATGGACAACTGATATGAACAGACAATTCATCAAAGAAGGTATCCAGAAAGCAACAGATATGTAAAAAAATTTTATCACTGCTTCCAATAAGAGAGATGCAGGTTAAAATCACAATTAGATTCCACCTCACACCTATGAGAATGGCACTTATTAAAAAAAACCCCAACAACAAGTGCTGAGGAGGATTCAGAAAAAGAGGAACCCTATAACACTGCTGATGGGAATGTAAACTGGTGCAGACACTATAGAAAGTGATCTCGATTTACCTTACAAAAACTAAAAATGTAAATACAATATGAACTAGCAATTCCACATTTGGGCATTTATCCAAAGAATGTGAACCCATCAGTTCAAAATACAATATGTTTCACAGTGTTTACTGCAGCCAGGGAGCAACCCACATGGCGAGGTAGACATCTCCTGACTTGCCCGCTGCTCCCCTCAGCAGTGTACTTCAGTATATCTGCCTATTCTGTTCCCCATTCTGCCTCTGGTGAATCCTCTCAGTAAACACTGTTTACCCTATTTACAATACTTGGGACATGGAAGCAACCTAAATGCCCACAGATAGAAGACTGGATCAAGAAGATGTGATATAGCCACATAACAGAATACTATTCAGCTATAAGGAAAGAAGAAATGTTACCATTTATAGCAAAATGGAAGGAATTGAAGAATTATGTGTAGTAAAGCAAGTAAGAATGGCAATCGCACATTTACATAGTGGGCAATTCAACAAAAGTACAAAAGCTGGTGGACGGTTTTTTTTTTTTTAAACTTTTATTTTCTTACATGTTAATCTTTTCTTTTTTTTTTTTTTTTAAAGATTTATTTATTTACTCATACAAGCACTGGGTACAGTCAGAAGCGCGGGAGGGTGAGAGAATTCACCAGAGCCAGAGCAGAGAGCAGAACAGGCAGAGTGACGAAGTACACTGCTGAGGGGAGTAGCGGGTGGCAGGAGAGGTCTGCGCACCATGTGGGACCCTCGCCAGGTGGCAGGGGTTAGAACTGGCGCTGCTGAGGCTGCGCGCAGCTTCGCAGCCCAGCACTCAACCGCTGCGCCACCAGGGGAGGCCCAAAAGCTAGTGGATGTTAACAAACAAAGTGTGGTTTCTGAAGTTAAGAAGAAATGGGAAGGAAGAATGGTCAAGAGGATATAAGGGATGATGGTGGAGAAAATAAAATGTTCCACAAAGAATAAAATTTAAAGTTGAATACATTTGCATTAGTTACATTAAAAAGCAAAACAAATAAAACAGCTAGGTGTAATGATTCCCAAGCTTCTAAGTGTATATTTTTATGTACTTACAATTCCTGAGATTATAATGTGCACTAACGTTACAAAGAATATAGGTTCCCGAGCTGGATGTTCAACAAGCTGGCTTGAGAAAGGGCTCTGGCTTCAGAAGAGTACAATATTCTGGATGATCCCCAATCCCAGGGTCCATTTCTCTTACCCAGCTGGCCAAGATTGCTATGGAAAGCATAGATTGTCTGAAACTCATGAGTTCAAATTACTCCTACTCCATTCTGGATAGCTGTCTTGTCTTCATCTTTCTAGACTTTTGGACTATGTCGTACAGGGATACAGCCATATTCTGGCTACAGGGGTAGGGCTTTGGGGCTAGGGTCGGGAAAATATCAAGCTGCTGATTTGAGACAACACAGAAAGACTGAAGGGGTATTTTCATGAATTACAGGATTATTCCTTCCTGAGTTTTATAGGAGAGTAGCAGAGCTACTTATTATGAAGTTACATGTCACATACATTAATCCATGCAAGCAATATTTTAAGAACAATTCTCACCTTCATGAGCAATCACTTTCAAAATATTCAGCTTGGAAGGCTAGAAACTCATTTTAAAAAATCTAGTATTGACTTGTAGTTGGAATGATTTTAAGTACATGCTTCTACTTTTGTTCACCCTCCCAGTTTTCCACTAAAATGACTGGGGGGAAAAAATGAAGAAAGCATCTATCAGTACTAGGCAACCACATACCAGAAACAAGGATTTTCTGCCAGACAAACTGCAAATGGGACTGGAATGAGGAAAAAGATGATGTTCAACACTTAGTTTGCTTGATAAGTTTGTACATGATTTAGTAGAAGTATTCCACCAATGCCCTGATTTTGGAGCAACTGAGACAAGAGATAAGGTGGACTGTGGCACAGTTGGAAGGGCACAACTGGATCCCATCAAGGTAGCAAAAAAACTTGGTGGTAACTGGCGTACACCTGGTGTGGGTGGCCATATAATGCAGAAGGAAAACAAAGCTGAAGTTGTCTTCTAAAAGGCAAAAAACAATCCAGAATAAGAACACCAAATTGAAAAATTTGGTCTACTACAGTAAACAGAGCTCCTAGCTCTTGCTTCCTTTCTACACTCCTCTAGGAGTTTAATATGTGCATATATGAAATGTTCCTCTTCTCTGTCTGCATCTGAAAATCTTGAAAGAGACCTATCTAATTTAAGTTCTCAAATATAGAAAAAAAATCAAAAACACTTGACATATGAAAAGATATTACAATTGAACAGAAGGATATCACTCTACAATCAATAAATACCTCTCTAGGAGAGCCACTGTGAAGACAGGTAAGAACTTAGGAAACTTTAATGTTAATAATCAATAAGACTTATTAGTGCTTGCTTCAGCAGCATGTATACAAAATCTGGAACCACATAGAGAAGATTAGCAAGGCCTTGTGCAAGGATGACACACAAATTCGTGAAGCATTCTATGTTTTTGAATGTTCACAAGACTTACTGAGGCGATCATTTTGCATATAAGTACTGAATCATTGTGTTGTACATCTGCAATTAATACAATGTTTTCTGTCAATTACCACAACTAGAAAAAAAGATGTAACAGTAATGTCACAGGCAGATAAAGAAATCACTGGAGCAGAAAAATGAAAATTTAGAAATAAACCCCAACATACATTATTACCAGACTATGACAACGCACCAATGCAGTGGAATGGGGAAAACTGTTCTTTCAATAAATGGTGCTGAGTCAACTGAATATCTGTATGGAAAAAAATTAACCTTACTCCTATTTCATGCCATATACAAAAATTAATTTGGCTTTGATTACAGACTTAAATGTTCATGAAAAGTAAAATATAACTTCTAGAAGAAAATACAGAAGAATATGTTCATGATTTTGGAGCAGACAAACATTTCTTAAATAGGACACAGAAAACACCAACCACAAAAAAAAAATTGGTAAATTTGACTTCATTAAAATTAAGATCTTGTGTTTATAAGAAGACACTACTAAGAGTAAAAACATGAGCCAAAGACTGAGGGAAGACATTCTCAATAAAAATATCCAAAAGGGCCTCCCTGGTGGTGCGAGGGGTTAAGTATCAGCACTATGAAGCTACTGGCAGCCACTGCAGTAGGAGTTCGATCCCCAGCCAGGGAGGTGACCCACATGGCACAACAGACCTCTCCTGTCTCTCCCACTGCTCCCCTCAGCAATTTCAGTAAATACACCTGTTCTGCTTCCCCTTCTGTCTTTGGTGAATCCTCTCACTTCCTCCCCACACTCCTGGCACCTCTGGCCTACACCCAAGCTCTTGTATGCATAAATAAATCTTAAAAAAAAAAAATCCAACACATAACATATTCAGAATAATTCTACAAATCAATAAGAAAAGACAAATCACCCAAGGAAAATATGGGCAAAAATCAGCAACAGGCAGGGCCTCCCCGGTGGCGCAGCGGTTGAGTGCTGGGTTGCGAAGCTGCCCGTAGCCTCTGCGGCGCCGGTTCGATCCCCGGCTGCTCCCCGGCCACCAGAGGAGGGTCCCACATGGCGCGCAGACCTCTCCTGCCGCCCGCTGCTCCCCTCAGCAGTGTACTTCGGTCCTTCTGCCTGCTCTTCTCCCCGCTCTGGCTCTGGTGAATTCTCTCACCCTCCCGCGCTTCTGACTGTACCCAGTGCTTGTATAAATAAATAAATAAATAAATCTTTAAAAAAAAAAAAAATTATTAAAAAAAAAAAAAATCAGCAACAGGCACTTTGATATCCCTTAAGGATATATAAATGATCTATAGCAAAAGGAAAGGTACTCAACATCATTAATCACTAGGGAAATGCAAATTAAAATCACAACGAGGTACTTCTATCTATCTACTAAAACAGCTAAAATGGAAATCAAAATCAAGTATTGGCAAAAATACGGAAAAACTGAAATTCTCTTATATTACAGATAGTCATGTATATTGGCCCAAAGACCTTGGAAACATGTTTGGTAATATCTACTCAAGTTAAACATAACAACTACCTTATGATCTAACAATCCCCTTTCTAGGTATTTATCAAAGACTAATTGACTAAGAGCGTATGTCCATTGAAAGATATAATAAAAATGTTCATGGCAGGTTTATTCATAATAGCCAAAGACTAGTAAAAGAAACTTTCATCAAATAAACTGTAGCATATTCATATAACAAAGTGCTATACAGCAATAAAGAATGACTACTCTTACATGAAATAAGATGGGTGAATCTCTCAAAGACTGTGTTGAACAAAAGACGTCAGATACAAATGTATATACTATATGAGTCCATTTATATACAACTCAAAAAGACAAAACTGATGGTGAATGAACTAAGGATAATGGTCACCAGAGTTAGAGAGAAGATTAATAATAAAAGAGGAGTATTCTGGAATGCTGGAAATATTTTGTATTTTGATCTGGGTGACAGTATGAATATAGTCATATGTAAAAATGTACTGAATTTAAATGTCAAAATAGTGTTTTGACTAATAACCTCCATTATTATATGGAGGTTAAATCTCAGTAAAGAGGTAACTAAAACAAAAACATAGTAAAAATTACACTTCAACCTCAATTAGGCAGTCATATGAGCAAACAATCAGGAAAAATTGCCATAAGTAGCAGTTAAATACATTAGAAAACTGAATTATAAAATAGATGACTTGCTTGATTCAAATTCTACAACATAGAAGAAAATAATGAAACAGAAATGTGGAACCCTAATCTTTAAAAAGCTACTTTAGAAATATCAAAGTCAATGAAAGTACAATAATTTTAAAAAATATAAAGGAGGGGGGAGATGTGTAAAAAAAAGGGAAAGAATACTTTCCATACTGTATGACTCAGCAATCCCGTTCTTGGGCATATATCCACAGAATATGAGACCATCAATAAAAATGGCCTTATTTTCCACAATGTTCAAAGTGGCATTATTTATGATAGCGAAGACATGGAAGCAACCGCAAAGACACTGATAAATAACTGGATGAAGAAGATGTGTTATAGGAGCCTCCCTGGTGGCACAAGGTGTTAAGATGCAACCTATGATGCTCGCAGCAGCCACTACAGTAAGAGTTCGATCCCTGGCCAGCAAGCTACCCACATGGCGCAGCAGACCTCTCCTGACTTGCCCACTGCTCCCCTCAGCAGTGTATTCCAGTCAATCTGCCTGTTCTGTTCCCCACTCTGTCTCTGGTGAATCCTCTCACCCCCCCCATCTCTGGCCTGTACCCCAGTTCTTCTATGCATAAATAAATAAAAATCTTAAAAAAAATGATGATGTGTTATATACAAATCATGGAGTATTACAGAGCCCTAAGAAAAGATGAAATACAGCCATTTTTAACACAATGGGATTTGAGAGAATTATGTGTAGCAAAGGAAGTCATAATGATAGGAACAAATACTGGACATACTGGACATTTACACAGCACACAATTTGATAATGTAAAACATTTTTAAAAACTCGTATTGATAAACATCCTGAGGGCTTGGAAGTTAAGTGGGAGGGGGAATGTAAAGGAAGAGGGAATGTAAAGGGACAAGGGGATAAAAGGGATGGTGGTGGGGGAAAAAATATTAAAGATACTTGTCAAAAAAAAAAAATTTCTGGGAAAATGAGGTCTCCCTACATCATTTTCTTTTGCAGCTGTTTGAGCAAAATGGGAGGTTAAAAACCCCTAGTCAAACAGGGGTCTCTAAAAACAAGAAAAAGAAGACATGGTATCAAAAATCTCAGTCAATGCTACTACCATGCTGCAAAAAACTCCAGGGAGTGGCCGTTTCTGCTATCATGTACGTGCATTCCCTTCCCTCACTTAAAAAAAAAAAAAGAAAAAAGAAAACTTTGCTGAGAAAGAACAGGATTTAAAGCCTGAACATTCAAAGGGCATGATAATAAACTTAATAATGAGAACACCTTCAATTAGGAATGGCAAAAAAGTGGGTACTTGGTATATTTTTTTTAAAGGAATCTGAGGCTCCATTTACGTTCAGTGGGAAAGAATGATGTGATAATTAGTAATTCCTATCTTTGGCAGAGAATGAAAGTACACCTACTAAACATTTGCCATTCTTGTCCCAGACTAATGTGGGCTCAGTCTTTATTTTCCAAGGAGAATGAAAAAAAAAAAAAAAAAGTTCTATAAGCATTAAAAAAAACACAGGGGCCTCCCCAGTGGCACAGCAGTTGAGCGCTGGGCTGCGAAGCTGCCCGCAGCCTCTGCAGCGCTGGTTCGATCCCTGGCCACCAGCGGTCCCACATGGCATGCAGACCTCTCCTGCCACGCCCACTGTTCCCCTCAGCAGTGTACTTCGGTCCTTCTGCTGCTCTGCTCTCCGCTCTGGCTCTGGTGAATTCTCTCACCTTCCCGTGCTTCTGACTGTACCCAGTGCTTGTACATATTAAAAAAAAAAAAAAAAACCAACAAACCCACAATATACACAAATTTGAAAACTCTCAGACTTTTTCTGCCCCAAAACTAGTCCATCATGATGAAGGGCAAAAGAGGGAAATCTTCAGATAAACTAAGACTTAAAAGATGTTTATTTTTAGAAAAAGTATTACTTAAATATGTCTCCTAGTAGAATAAGATATTAATAAAAAAAATTCAAGGACTTGTTTAAATGTAAAAAAAAAGGAAAGGTGGGGAAATTGTTAGACATTAAAAGAGCCTTAAGAGACATATCAATCAAATATAGAGTATAGAGCTTGCTTAGATCTTAATTCTAACAGGCCCATGTGAGATGGCAAATTTGAGATAATCTGGAGAATTTGAAAATGGACTATACAGAATTAACAAATTATTAATTTTGGATCCTATAATAATGTTATAGAGGTTAGGTTAGGGGAAAAGTTTTACAAGTTAGGGATAGATACTTGAGCATTTTCAGTATGATGAATAGTATTTGATTTAAAACCCCCAAGAACAAAAATTTGGCAGGGGAACAAGGAGAATGATTAAAAAAAAAAAAAAAAACAACCAATAAACTGGTTACACTGTGATTCATTATACTATTCTATTATTTTTTTTTTTTTGGTATGTTTGAAAATTTCAACAGAAAAACCAAACAAAAAACCCCCAAAACAAACCCCAAGAACAAAATAGACAATTGTATTTAAAAACAAATGGCAAAAAGCAAAAAGAATAAAAGATAGCTAATTCTATATAAATGATGTTAACAAGATTCTGAAATAGTACAAATGTTACATACTATTCTTCAAAGAAAAGATACACAATTTAAAAACATTTAATGATAATAGGATTGATGGTATATAGCAGTTAATTTGGACATTAGAGCATGGGTTTGAACTACTGAACGTGTGACCATAGGCAAAGTACTTAGTATTTCTGGGTCTTTGTAAAATGGGGATAAACCCCAGATAAGGTCATTATAAAGATTAAAGACTGACACACTGTAAGCCTTTCATATAGCTACTATTATCTAAAATCCCAC